TCTTTATAGTTGTTGTAGTTCAACAAAGACGAACTCAATACACAAGCCTGATGATGGCAGATGAGATTCTGCTGAAACATTGCTACCACTTTAAAAGCATAACTGTAAAGATGTGGGAAAATACCCAAACAAAGCTGAATACCATACATATAAATACCCTCAAAAACATAAAAATATATATATATTCAGAAGCCTGAAGATGATGAATGAGACTTCATCGAAACGTTGCCTAGATACTTCGAATCTTACGCGGGAGAAAACCCGAACAACCAAAGATCCATACACACACACACACACACACACACACACACACACACACGTGTGTGTGTGTCTGTCTGTCTCTCTCTCTCTCTGTGTATGTATGTATGTATATCTATCTGTATCTGTATCTGTATATGTATGGCATTCAGCTTTGTTCGGATATTTTTCCACGTCATGGTAGTTGTGCTTTTAAAGTTGTAGCAACGTTTCAGCAGAATCTCATCTGCCATCATCAGGCTTCTATACATATATGTGTGTGTGTGTGTGTGTGTATGTATATGTATATAAATATATTTCCCTCAATTGTTTATCGTATGCGTGATGTTTGGTGGCAAACATCAGAGTTTTGAGATTTGTGATTTATTTATTTTGTCAATTGCTTACAAGATAATAGGTATAAGTATAAACATAGTTATGAATACATGAAATGGATACATATGAGAAAAATGAAAAGAAACAATAGAACAGGGATGGTAGGTATGTTGGTGAGCTTATGCACGCCCCCTACAGACCTCTTAGGAAAGGGGTGAGGTCAATAGTAGACAGTCTAAGGTTAAACTTTTTGGTGTTTGGGCAAGAAACCACAGAGCCAAGTAGACTATTCCAGACATTGACCACTCTGTTGCTGAAGTCGTACTTCCTGCAATCAAGTTTGGTGCGATTAACCTCGAGTTGTTATTGCCTTTACTTTCTCTTACATGATGTAGAATTTATCACTGAACAATGGCTCTGGTCTTAATGTTTGTAGTTAACATAGATCTAAGAAAATATAAAGAGCTGTTTGCGCTGCACCTGAATCTCCTTTTGGCCCTGGAGGTCCTTCCTTCCCATCTCTTCCTGGCAAGCCATTGCTCCCTGGGGTTCCTGGCAATCCATTAATGCCAGGAACCACAGTGCAAATGTTGACTTTCTCTTCACACCTGCATGTCTCAGGATCTGATGATTTCACCAGGGACACTGCCAGCACCAGGGTGTAGAAAGGACAAAGCAGCATATCTTAAGAATGGGACCTAAAGAGGAGGAAAATGGTAAGGTAAAGGTTCCTCTCGCACATATGTGCTAGTCATTTCCAGCCCTAGGGGATGGTGCTCATCTCCATTACAAAGCCGAAGAGCCAGTGCTGTCCGAAGACATCTCCGTGGTCATGTGGCTGGCATGACTAAACACCGAAGGCACATGGAACACTGTTCCCTTCCCACCAAAAATGGTCCCTATTTTTCTCCTTGCATTTTTAACATGCTTTTGAACCGCTAGGTTGGCAGAAGCTGGGACAAGGAATGGGAGCTCACTCCATTATGCGGTGCTAGGGATTTGAACCGCCGAACTGCCGAATCGACAAGTTCAGCGTCTTAGCCACTGAGCCACCACGTCCCCGAGGAAAATGGTACATATTTCATTTTCCTTTTGTTTGGGATGAAATAACATTCTGACTTTTTAATATTTTGAATGTTTGTAAACTTTCTAATATTTTGAATTTCAATAAAGAATTTTTTTAAAAAAAGAAATAACATTCTGACCTCTTGTGGTGTTTCAGCTGGTGGAACAAGGATTGGATGGCCTTTTTCCCTCCACTTTCCCATTGATCAATTGGAGGGAAACCACTACCTGGCTGATGGTATCCCCCTATTCTTTTCTACGTTTTTGAGGTCATCAGAGGCAAAGAGGATTGTAGTCTGTTTACATATTGTATGAGGGATTGAAGAGTAGTAATTGTTCTAATATCTACTCAAGCAGTTACTATTATATCACCTACAGCATTACAGATGTCATCCAGATGCTACCTGCAACGTTTGCGCTTCACAGGTTCTATATCAAGGGATAGTTATACTGTACATCATGTTTCATCGCACTGTTGGCCAGATGTTCAGACTGGATTTAGTATTTCTATCTAGTTATCGAGCCATCCCCAAGGACCTGGGGTGGGCTGATGTGGATATTTCGTGGTGTTACATATATCGTTGCAGGATGTAAGCTGATCCAAGTCAGGCTGCCTTTTGCAATTGACTGAAGATAAACAGAGTTGTAGAAGTTCATAAATTGCTTTGGCGGCAGAGGGGGATGACTATTATTCTTGAAATATATTGACCGGTATGCAACTGGGAAGGGGCAATCTATGTCTATGGGGGTTTTCTTTTTTCTTGTGCACTTTTTAAATGTCTTGTTTAGCTTTGCTTTATCCTTATGTGTTTTTTCTTTCTTTTGTTTTGGAAGTTGCACTTTAATGCTGTGAATGAAATTAATAATAATGAAAATGAAAATGAAAATTAAAGAATGGGGCTGTAGGCCTACTACTACCACGCATCACCCAATAACAGTGTAACAATCCAGAAGACTCTGTTTGTTTCTACTAGAAAACAACAACAAAAAGTCTCTTCTTGTTTCTGAGAAAACAATTGAGCAAGCTCCACAGATAGTTGCATGTGCAAATATTTGATGTGTTCCATAGCTGCCGAACTAGTTAATCATTAGCATTGTTTTGGAAACAAAATGGAACAAACCTTCCCTCATTTAAAAGGCAACATTTATCAGTCATGTTAGAACAAGAGAGGTGGAAAAACTGAGCTTGCATATTTGAGACATGGCACACTTAAAGCCCTTCATTGGGGAAGAAAATGGTATTGATTAAGTTAATGAGTCGGGCATTATGCAATAGATCATCAAATGCATATAATCTAATAATAGCCATTACTGGCACTTGTGGAGAAAGGTATCTTCTCATGAAATCATGCTGGAGCTACAATAGAATAGAATAGAATAGAATAGAATAGAATAGAATAGGAGGTATCAAATATTCCAGAATAGCCAGACATAGGAATACAGTCCTACGAAAGCTTAAATTTGTTGCACTTGTATTCTACATAATATAGAATCATTTACTTATCACATGATTCACAAAATCATTTTTTGTCACGCTAGTAATTTAATGCAGAGGTCAAATATTTAACCCCATAATCAATTCACACCTGCCACTTAGCTTAAAACGTTTCAGGCTGCTGCTGTTTGTTGACCTTGACTGCACCTCAGATACCGATTTGCTGATCCTACATTTGTTTTATTTTACGGAAGATTATCTGATACTTTTGAGAGCTGCTACGAAGGGACTGCTTTGTGGAATAATAAACATTTCGCACCTTGTGTTCACTGTGAATAAAAATGGGGAATGTGTAGTTTCAGAAACAGTGGCTTTGATAAAAAGAACTTGATATTTAAGGGGTCCTTGGTGCTCTTTGAGGTTTGTTGTTTTCTTCAGGAATCTCATTATTCAACTAGGGAACATCATCAGTGCTAGAAGGGAGAGGGGGTTGTGGAGAGGAGGAGGAGGAGGAGGAGGATGACTGTGGGATCCTTGGCACTCTCTGAGGAGGAGGAGGGAAAAGGAGCAAGAGGAGGAGGAGGGGAAAGGAGGAGGATGATATGAAGAGGAGGAGGAGGTGGATTGTGGGGTTCTTGTGTCTCTCTGAGCTTGGTTGTTTTCTTGAAGATGTTTCATTAGCCCAACTAGGTAACATCATCAGTGCTAGAAGAGAGGGGGTGTTGTGGGGAGGAAGAGGAGGAAGAGGAGGGGGAAGGAGCAAGAAGAGGAGGTGGAGAAAGGGAAAGGATGAGGAGCAGGAGGAGGACTACGGGGTCCTTGGTGCTCCTGAGCTTGGCTGCTTTCTTGCAGATGTTCATTACCCAAACCAGCCTAGCACTGTTGATATTTCCTAGTTTGATAACAGTTAATGAAACATTTGCAAGCTCGGAGAGTACCAAACCCCCCCCCTCCTTTCAACCCTGAGCTAAACTTTTATAAATCAATAAAATTTTATAAATCCATAAAAAAATAAAATAAAACCCTTTATTAATTTCATCTGTTCCTTGCTGTGGCATTCTTTCTTTCCCCTTTCAGTTTACTCATTGTTTCCTTGTCGTGTTTTGCTCACTTCACCTGGATCCCCTCTCCCATTTTTACCTATCAAAAATAATTAAGATTCTGCTTCAGAAATCACAGAAAAAAGATTAGTTTGATACTGAAAAAATAAATTACTTACACAGCACTGAAAGAAACCAGCTCTCCGTGTATGTGTTTCTCAGGCAGTGATTTTGCAAAATCCGATTCTTTCACTAATCATTATCCAAACAACAGGGGAAAAATATTTATTTGTTGTTTGACTTCACCCAGTTTATTTTACCTGCTGCGGGAAATTCCAGTGGAATTCACTCTTTAATACCATTCTAAATATGTTGCAACGATTTGCAGAAGAAGAAAAGAACAGATGAAGCAAGAGTTAGCTCGGGAAACTGCATTTTTTTTTTTTTTAGAAAAAGCAAATTAACAAACCAGCTTTTGCTTTAAACAAAGAAGAACGTCTGTGCACTGCAAAATGTTACAACACAGGATAGGACATAACAGATCTAAAAATAATTTTCTCAGGGAACTGGCAAAAAGCTACACTGTGGAGAAGATAAAAAAGAAATGAATGCAAGAAAAGTTGGAAAGAAGATATTAGACAATCACTCCAAGCATTGGGCTAGATCCCATGGCTCTGGTGTCTATGAATTAATGCTATAAAAGCTATAAATGTTAATCTGGTATGGGGTCTCATGCCTGAGCAAGGGGTTGGACTAGAAGACCTCCCCGGTCCCTTCCAACTCTGTTCTGATTGATTGATATTACCAAAAGTGTATCATTGTCTAGAGGAGGGTTTCTAGACTCTTGCCTGGAGGGGGAAATTCCAATTTTATGTCACAAACTTCTAAATGAAATTTAGATTTTTGTTCAATCATAAATGCAGGCACTTTTCTTAAAAAAAAAAAAAACCAAAACATTTCATCAAACAAATATTTAAAAGCACCATAAAGAACAAAAGGGGAAGAAGAAACAGAAGAGCAAAATATAGATATTTATGTATGTATTTTATTTATATCTTGCTTTTATTACTTTTACAAATAACTCAAGGCACATGAAATATTATTTCCTCTTCCTATTTTCCTGACAAGAACAACGCTGTGGGGCAAGTTGGTCTGAGAGAGAATGATGGCCCCAAATCACCCAGCTGGCTTTCATTGCTAAGGCTGGACTAGAACTCACAATCACCTGGTTTCTAGCCTGATGCCTTAGCCGTTAGACCATTTGGCTCTCCAAATCTTCTATCTATCTATCTATCTATCTATCTATCTATCTATCTATCTATCTATCTATCTATCTATCTATCTATCTCAAAGCGAAAGACCACTCACACATCATCACAAAATCTCCAGAACCGTAAAGCCTACAAACTTGAAACTTGGCACATAGGTTCCTCTTAGCTTCTAGGTGCTCACTAAGAAAGGGTTTTTTGAAATGACCCTCAGAGCATTTAGAGCATTTCCTATATTATTATTATTATTATTAACACGCTCTGATGCTAAGGAGTTCTACTCCCCCTCCCCACCTGGAAAGAAATCTCTTCCAAATGCAAAACACAAGCAGAGGAGAGGAGTTTCAGTTTCACAGCACCAAGCAGCTTTAGTACAGAGCAGTTGAGATAAGCCATGCCCAGGCTCCTTGCTGTCACCTTCTTGCTCACATAGCAAATACTGTTTTACTTTCCAAGTCCTCAACTCTCTCACACACTGACAGCACACTAGCCAGATGAATGCCGATGGATGCTGGTAGGCAGAGGCAGAATTTTCCCCCTTATTTTCCTCCTCAAAAACTAAGCCCAACCACATAGTTTCATAGTGAAGCATGGGTGTCGAGCTAATATATAGATATAGAGCATTTGCAAACTCTGTAAAATTAAATAAGAAGAGCGAGAGTCAGATTAATTATCCATCTAAGATGATATTAACTAATTATAATAATCAAATCAATAATCGGTTGTTTGCAAGATGCCTTGCAAAATTCTAAACTTAATCTTCAGTCTTTTGTTTGAATGCAAATTAATTGGTTGTCTTTGCCTTACATTTAATACATTTTCTCCAATTCTTACTAGAAGTCATTTGAAAAAGATAATTGATCCTTAATAAAATATTTTTACAGTTGCTATTTTCCCTACACATTTAACTTTTCCCATCTTAAAAATGCCTGACATTGTGCTTTTCTAAATCTGTGAATGGTGATTCTTAAATAATGGCATGTTACGTTTATTTCAGTAAATTCCTAAGTACCGAATTAATTCTCACAGCCCATATAAACTGTGGCCATGAATCACAGGAACAAGGAGATCGGATATGTAAGCCCATCTTTGATGAAGTTGTTCTTGTTAGGCTATTTTCCTTTCTCTTTAAAAATAAAAATTAAAATTAAATAAGCAAACCAAGTGGTAGAAAATAATGATGGCCTTTGTGAAACCCTAAAGGAACATGATATCTGATTAGAGAATCTCCAACTATAGAAAGGATATGTCATTTTAATTAAGAATGTTTATTATAAAGCTAACTAAAATTAAAGATAGAAACATGAACAGAAAGTAAAATGTGTAAGAAAAAAAGAAAAAAAGTTAATATAATAAAGAGGAAAATATATATAAAGAGGTGACTTTCAACTGCCATCACAAATATAAAGAAAATTTATATATATATATAGAACTCTTCACTCTCTCTTCACATTTATCTCTTCATTCCATATCCCATCTCTTGTCTATAAAGAAATCTATAAAACATAATCTTTCGTGGTGTGAGCAGAAAGTCCATAAGGGGTTGCCAGAAGTAATAATATGTCTTGTTTTAACCTTGATCAAGTAAACCAACTTTATATTTTTTCCTTTTACGTCTAACAGCATTCATAGTTCATTCAAGTATTGTCATAGGATCTGAATTTTCTCTATTTCTTTTATGTCCCATTGCACACAGATCTTTAAGGCTTTAACAATTCTTTTTTGTCATTCCAAAAGGAAAAAAAATATCAGGTTACTCTTTTGGTTTGTCATTTGTATTTCCCTTTTAAATTTTAAAACCACAACCTGTTTCTTCCCCCCGCCCCCCTTGATCCAGTAAAAGTCTTTTTCTGAGTCATTTTCTTGGCCTTCCAGTTGTAAATCCATTTTTGATGGCATTTCCATCTTGTCAAATTTGTTCTACATCTGTCATTTCTTCAACAACACATTTTGACATAGTTTATTCATAGAAACAGGCAATGCTGAGGTTGTGGAATTGTGGCTATTTTCTGAGTCTGTTCTTCAAAGGTCTCCTTCTGTATTTTCATATATATATATTTTTACAGTATTTTGCAACATTTGACAGCCTTGTAATTCTTTCCTCTGTCTAAATCTTTAGTGCATCTCCTCATTTAAAACTTTGGTTCAGACAAGTGTAGGTCTCTCTCCTGGCATAACCGCTGGCTGGGATAGCTACTTGCCTTGTGTGAAAGCATTGTGTGCTTCCGTGTGCTTCTTGTGTGTCCTACTTTCAGCTGAGGAAAAGTTAGTGGAGTCAGCAAGATTAGCTTTACCACTCTCACTTTTACACAAAATGCAGGGGAGTTTCCTCCATGTGAGCTTCAGGAGAAAAGCAACACCAGTGTGATGACACTCTCCTCTCATATGTTCCCCATGGGCTCCAGTTCTGTCAGAACACCTGCTGTTCACAGAGAAAGAGGCAAAGTAAAAATAAAATCAAATTGGGAGGAAGGAGATAAGGAGGGCATTCTTTGTATCCCAAGATAGCAAATTAATCTGATCACTCCAGGCTGTGAAAATGTGTGGGATCACACTTTGTTGATTCTCCTGTGGGCAACCCATCCTCTACTCCCCTGACCTCCCATGTAGAAGCTGATAAGATCATCCGGGAGGGAGTTTTCTTAAAACTGGCCTCCTTTGCTTGCAAACAGAAACAATAACGGGGGGGGGGGGGAAAGAAGCTGAAATTTAAGGACTTGTGCTAAGAGCAGAAATGGGCAAGGAAGCTCAAGAGCTGGTCAGCACCAGGTGAAGATGAACTGCATGGTTTGGGGTTGAAGTCTGCACCCAATCGTTGCCCAGCAGTTTTACAACACAGTGCAAGGAGGTGAAATTGAACAGTGGCTAAGATCTGGCCAAACCTACCTGATAATGACAGACCCAACAAAAGGGGTATCACCAGGCAACTATAGGTCAATTACCTGTCTACCAACAACTTGCAAATTGCTAACTGGTGTGGTAGCTGATGCAGTCCAAATAGCTTCTAGTTGAAAGCAAGTTCTTTGCGCCCAAGCCGAAAAGAGTAGCAGTAGCAATACTACTCAGACTTATATACCACTTCACAATGCTGTGTAGTGTACAGAGTCAGCCTATGGCCCCCAACAATCTGGGTCCTCATTTTACCAACCTCAGAAGGATGGAAGGCAGAGTCAATAGCAATAGTAGTTAGACTTGTATACTACTTCACAATGGTTTACAGATGTCTCTAAGCAGTTTACAGCCTATTGCCCACAACAATCTGGGTCCTCGTTTTATCGACCTTGGAAGGATGGAAGGCTGAGTCAACCTTGAGCTGGTGAAATGGGCTACATAAGGAAAGATATGCAATTAATTTATGTGATTACTTCAAGTTCATTTTTGCATTTCATGCAGATAACTCCACATTAAAGTTTCCCTCGAGTCAATCTTGACTCCACACATCCCTTCCTGGACTTAATTTGTGCAGGTTCCTTGACAAGGTTTCATAAAAGGAGGTGGTCACACATCCTTCTTCCAGAACGATTACTTCAGAGTAAAAAAGGTGAAGGTTGCCCCGTCCAGATCTGTCCAGATGTGTCCAGCTGTTGGGCATGCTGTTTGTCTTTGTTTCTTGGCTGAGGGAGCCGTGTTGCCTGAAGAGAATTTCCATTTTCATGTGGCCAGCATGGCTATACGCCAAAGGCACACAGAACACTGTTTTCTTCCCACCAAAGTGGTGCCATTTCCATGCTTTCAAACTATTAGGTGGCCAGGAACTGGAGTGAGTAATGGGAGCTCACCCCATCATTGCGGTGCTCAGCTCTTGAATCTGGGATGTCAGCTAGCTGACAAGCTCAGTGTCTTTAACCACTGAGCCATTGCGCCCTAGCTAACAAGTATAAAATGACAACATCAACTCTGGATCATTTCACACACAGCCCCATAACTGTACAAGTGCCCAACTGAACGGAAGAGGAAACTGACAGGGAAAAGACCAACAATTGAAATGACAAATATTAAAATGG